AAAGAACCTAAACAGACACTTCTCCAGGAAGGATATATGAAGTGCCCAGACACATATGAAAGGATGCTTAGCATCACTAGCCATCAGAGAAATGCAAATTATAACCACAATGAGATACCATTTCACACCAGTCAGAATGGCCATAATAAACAAATCAACCAACAACAAGTGCTGGCAAAGTTGTGGAGAAAAGGGAACCTTAGTACACTGTTGGTGGGAATGCAGACTGGTGCAGCCACTGTGGAAAACAATATGGAATTTCCTCAAAAAAAGAATCCTGAAACACCAATTCAAAAGAACTTAGGCATCCTCATGTTCATAGCACTGTTATTTACAATAATCAAGTGCTAGAAACAGCCTAAGTGCCCAACAGTAAATGAGTGGATAAAAAAGCTGTGGTACATTTACACAATGGAATACTACGCAGCAGAAAGAAGGAATTCCTACCTTTTGCAACAGCATGCATGGAACTAGAGAGTATTATGCTAAGTGAAATAAGCCAGGTGGTAAAAGACAAATACCCTATGATCTCACGTATAAGTGGAACCTAATCAACAAAACAAACAAACGAGCAAAATAGAACCAGAGACACTGAAATAAAGAACTGACAGTGACCAGAGAGGAGAGGGAAGGGGGAGAAAGGGAGAAAGGTCAAGTCAAGGAACATGTATAAAGGACCCATAGACAAGGACTGGGGTGTGGGGTGAGGACTGAATGTGGAAGATGGGGTGTGGGTAGGGCAGGGGAGAGTAATGGGGGAAAAAATGGGGGAAAATGTAATTGAACAACAATACAAAATTAAGAAATAATGACATTGGGATTTTGATGGGGATCACATTAAATCTGTATATTGTTTTGGGTATTATGGCTATTTTAACTATGTTGATTCTTTCAATCTATGAACACAGAATATTTTTCTATTTCATTGTGTCTTTTTCAATCTCTTTTATTAATGTTTTGTAGTTTTCAGTATTCAGGTCTTTCACATCCTTTGTTAATTTTATTCTAGGTATTTTATTCTTTTGGTGGCAATTGTGAAAGGAATGGTTTTTTTATTTCCTTTTCTGAAGTTTCATTGTTAGTATATAGGAAAGCAGTGGATTTTTGTACATTGATTTTGTATCCTGCAACTGTACTGTATTTGTTTACTGTTTCTAATAATGTTTGGGTGGAGACTTTAGGGTTTTCTACATACAGAATCATATTATCTGCAAAAATGACACTTTTGCTTCCTCCTTCTCAATCTGGATGCTTTTTATTTCTTTCTCTTGTTTGATTGCTCTGGCTAGGTCTTCCAGAACTGTATTGAATAAGAGTGGTGAGGGTGGGCATCTTTGTCTTGTTCCTGATCTTAGGGAAAGGCATTCAATTCTTCACCATTGAGTATGATATTGGCTGAGGGTTTATCATATATGGCTTTTATTCTGTTGAGGTACTTTCCTTCTATAACTATTTTATTGAGTGTTTTAATCATAAATGGATGTTGCAGCTTATCAAATACTTTTTCTGTATCTATTGATAAGATCATATGATTTTTATCCTTTGTTTTTTTAATGTGGTGCATTACATTGATCAATTTGCATAAGTTGAACCATCTTTGTGCCCTGGAATGAATCCCAGTTGATTGTGATGGGTATTATTTTAATGTATTATTGTATTTGATTTGCTGGTATTTTGTTTAGGATTTTTGCATCTATATTCATCAGAGATATTGGTCTGTAGTTTTCTTTTTGTGTGTATTATCCTTGTTAGGTTTTGGTATCAGGGTTACCAAAATGTGTTAGGAAGTGTTGCCTCTTCTTCAGTTTTTTGGAAGAGTTTGAACAGGATAAATATTAAATCTTCTTTGGATGTTTGGTAGCATTCACTAGTTAAGCCATCTTGTCCTGGACTTTTATTTTTTGGAAGGGGTTTGATGGTTGTTTCAATTTCCTCAGTGTTAATCATTCTTTTTAGATTTTCTAATTTTCATGATTTAGTCTATGAAGGTTATATATTTCTAGGAACTTACCATTTTTTTCTAGGTTATTGAGTTTGGTGGCATATAGTCTTTCATAGTATTCTGGTAAGATCTTTGTGTATTTATGATTTCTGTAGTGACTTCTTCTTTTTCATTTCTGACTTTGTTTATATGGGTCATCTCTGTTTTTTCCTTAGTGAGTCTAGCCAGGTTGTCAATTTTATTGATCTTTTCGAAAATCAGCTCTTTGTTATATTAATTTTTAGATAGTCTTTCTGTTCTCTGTTTCATTCATTTCTAATTTTTATTATTCCTTTTCTCTTACTGACTTTGGGTTGCACTTGTTTTTCTTTTTCTAGTTATTTAAGAAGTAATGTTAGGTTGTTTAGTTGGGATTTCTCTTGTTTCTTGAGATAAGCTTGTAATAATACAAACTTCATTCTTATTACTGCTGTCATACTATCCCAGAAATTTTGGTACATTATATTCTCATTCTCACTTGCCTCTCTCTAAATTTTTTGATTTTTTTCTATTTCATTCCATATTTTGCTTTACTCCTCAGTGTGAACCTCTCCGCATTTGGATCAAGTGAAAGTTTTTACAATGCAGCCTATTTCTTCTAGGTTTCTGTATATCTCTTAATCATTTATTTTTATTTATCCACAAATATTTAGTTTCTCCTATGTTTTAGGTGCTACTGACCAAGCAGTGAACTCAATGGATGCTTTTGCTGCCATCTCAATATTTTTTTTTCCTTTTTGTTGTCCCAGATCTTCAAGGTCAACATCAGCTTAAACTCAATTCTCTGCCTAATACCGATCTTGCACTCTTTCAATCTTATTTCTCAACCCATTCATCTCCACTTCTTTAGCCTTCACACAAGGAATGCCAATTATATGTGGTGATATCTCATCATCCTTTACTAACTGGATTGGTGTTATGGTCTGAATATTTATGTCCTCCTCAAAATTAAGATGTTGAAATCCTACCCTTTAATATAATAGTATTAGAAGATGGGACCTTTGTGGGGTGCTTAGTTCATAAGAATGGAGCCCTCTTGAATGGTATAAGTACCTTAGAAAAGTAGATCCAGAGAGACCCTGAGCCCCTTTCTCCATGTGAGAACACAGTGAAGAGACTATGAACCAGGAAGAGAGCTCTCACTGGAACATGACCATGCTGGTGCTTTGATCATGGACAGCTTCACAGACTCTAGAACTGCGAGAGGTAAGTTTCTGCTGTTGATAAGCTACCCGGTCGGTGGCATTTTGTTATAACAACCTTAACTAAGAGAGCTGGACATGCTGGTCATCAGAGACAAGGAAGCAAAACCTTGCTACCTGAGTTCATTCATACAGAACGTTTAGCATAATATTGGCAAAACTGCTGAAGCTCTGGTCAATAATCACTATTCGGATGTAGTAAAAAGAAATCACAGGCAGAGTAAACAGTTTGCATGGCTCTAGGCAGTTGTTGAAGCCACAGGAAATTATCAAACCCATGTTGCATAACCTCCCTAGCACAGACAGTATAAAAACAAAGTAATTCTTTTCCACCACCCTTTAACCCCCAAGAAAAATTCTTAACAAACTCCCTCTCTTTTCTGTCCTCTAATTTCTAGAATTAGAGACTTCTTTATTGAAGCATGCCTGGGGCAGTCTTCAGTTAGTTTATGTCCAATAAAGCTGATTCGATTTTGATCATGAATAATGGCAGAAGGATGGAGGTCAGGAATATGAAGTAAGACAGTACTTCTTTTTTTAATGTGTCTTGTTTCCATATAAAAACTGCATATAATTTATATTACATTTAATCAGAAAAAATACTGAAACCATGCAATATAATGGTTCTGGTAAAACCATAAAAATATGTCATACTCCTAAGAAGAGAATATTACCGCAAACTAGGTTTAAGAAAATAATAGCATGACTTATTAGTTTTATTTACAATGAGTTATTTTTTAGATAAGAAATTTCCTTACTGTATATCACTAAATTAATAACAATTAGATAGTATTATCATCTATACATTTATTTTTTACTATGAAAAATTTCAAACATACATAAAATTAATAATAGTATATGCCCAACAGTCCACAATTATGAAATTTGGCATACTTGTTTAGCTATTTTTAAAGATACAATATTAACACCTGATATTCATTGGGATCATTTGTGCTTTATCACTATTAAAATATATTTTTAAATGTAGTGAACATTGCCTTTCAATTCAAAATTTCCTTTTGGTGATAAATGTTTATTAACATTATTAAAAGTGAGGACCTTAATATAGGTAAACTTCTGTTACAAAAACTTCAAGAACTATACTCTTGTTTTTCTGTATGGTAACTCCTGCTTGAAATAAGGAAGCTTTCGAATGAAACATGAAACAGTTAAGTACATAGAGTTTTGGGAAGCCATCATAATAAACATTTCACATTTTTTGCACATGGATCATGCACCAGGCACTGTATTAAGAGCTTTGTAAGCACCCACTATTCAAACAACCTATTAGGTATTCTTGTTTTCTTCATTTTACAGATTGGGATGTTGTAGCTGAGAGAGGTAAATTTACTTAACTGTCCAGAGTCATCAAACAAGTGTTAAGCACAGCCATATTTGTTAAACTTATATTTGATTTTGATAAAATCTGTTTTAAAGTATTAAAAATTTTATACTTACCACTAATAATCAATAAATGGTGTATAGGAAACATAACATTTTATACAGTCATTACTTAAATTAACCATTGTCGGCATAAACAAACAAAAGGACTGAACTCTAATGGGAGATGCAATTAACAACCTGTGGGGTCTTAAGAAGCCCACCCAGTTCCCTAGGACTGAGGGGGTGGGAGTAAGACAGACTCTCCAAAAAACCCCAGGAATTTAGAAGATGTTTATTAAGGTAGCTTGGGTTTCAAGTCCACATTTTGCAATTTCTGTAAATGACAAATTAAATAAATATTTCATCTTATTGGCTTTATTTTTAAATTGATAATTTATAAATTTTCTCTATAAACAATAAAAATAGTGACTTACATGTCAACTGAAATAAGTTTCCTTACTTCATTGTCAGAGGCATAGTTCCAAGTTGTTTCAATAATTCCAATGTAATAATGCTTATCTTTTGCCCAGGCTGTGCTACTATGTAAAAACAAAAAAATACCCAGCAACAAAATCTTCATTTTTTTTTTCCCCTCTTGGATCCCCAGAAGCAATGAAGTGAAGTCTGAAGCAGGCAGTTTTATAAATAAGGCTTTCTTCCTTTATTTGCTTGATTGACACAATTTAATGTTGCGTAAAGAGTAAACTGCTCATTAAATAACATTTTGCACTTTATAGTTCAGTTCTCGTAATCCCAGAAAAAAATAGTTTTCTGTTGCCAACCTTCTCCGATTACAAGTAAAAGTCAACAGTTATGCTGGTTGACTGGGGTTTGCATAACCCTGTACTTCTTCCACGCCTTGTGTAAATTCCAAGAGGGCAGAGATCACCTCTAAATGCTTCTTTTTTCATCCAACAATAGGCCACAGTACAATGCCTTGCAACTCTGAACTTTTAATAAATCAGGATGAATATTATGCATAGTGGATCAAAACATGTGGCTCTTTACTTTTGAAAAGTCTAACAATATTTCATTGCAAATTTAAGATGTGAAACATGATCTTTACCATGCCAAATTTAAGTATCCAAAACTAAAAATTTTATTTTGAAGGATTTATTTATTTTGTAAGCTCTGAACACATCTGCATACAAAGTTTACAGGTTATTCTGTATTACTATATGCAAATCAGTAGAAGAGTATACTGGAGGTTGATAACTGTTTTAATCATCAAAGAAATCAGAGAAAAATCAACGTGCCTTAAAGGCAAATCTTGGTCTTAGTAAATATTAGAAGGTGCCCAGTTTATTAACCGGGGATTTCTGTCTTTTATATGGACATTAATTTTAGGGGAAAAAATTTTTTAATTCTCTTTAGTCAAGACATATTTGTTAAGAATACAAGGTAGCTTTTTTTTCTTAGCTGAAGAAAATCTTGGCGATAACACTGCAAATTCTGTGCTAGTATAAACTCCTCCCTTAGAATACCACAATGTGGTAGTATTGTATTTGCCAAAAGTTGTTTAAAGAAAGAGATTGGGATACGAGAAAGTATCATGATGTTTGAACAATTGATTTATTTAATTAGCATTACGAAGGGATCCTGCTGTGCTGAAGCCCATTGCTAAGCACTAAGGACAAAACAATGAATCTCTACCCTCTTCAGCTTACCTTGATTGCACTAAACAGAGACTGACGATATACAGATAAAGAGTGAAATACCCAGCATTAGCACCAAGTGCTATGGAAAAAAAAATAAATCAATGAAAAATAATGAAAACAGCAGGATGAAGATCAAAATCTGAGGGCACCACTTGACATCAGGCAATATACTTGACCACAGCCTCAGGTTCCTCATCTGTAAAATCTCCGTCTTGGAGGTCTCTTTTACATTCATTGAAATGATCCTTGTTAAGGCACTTGGTGGAGATGCTTCTTTCAGAAACTAATTGTAATCTCATCTAATTGTCATGATACAGAAAGCTGAGTCATAATACACCCAGGAAGGCCCAAGACCTCGTTCTAGAGTCACCCTAAATGAAAGTGCCCCCTTGCCCACTGTAAGGTCTTTAATGGGGCCAAAATCTTGCCCAGACTCCACTGGCCAAACTCTGTGCCTTGCAAGATGCTGGGTTTTTTTAGAAATACAGAATTGTAAACCTGAAAATTATAAAAATGCTATTAACCAATGTCATCCCATTAAATTCAATAAAAATTTAAAAATTAAATTAAATTAAATTGAAAAACATTGGTCTACACTGACAGAACATCTGTCAGCAGTTCATCCTCCCAGAGGAAAGAAGCACTTGTTTCTAAGTGACACGAAGCCATTTATACGAGCCAGCAGCTTTCTGGGCACTTCCTTTCACATCTTTCCCTCCATGCTCACACTCAGCCCTATGGGCTGAAAGGATGGTGATCAGAGCACAGCAACAATCTCTGAAGTCACTTTTTCCATCACATTCTACCCTAAAAAACTGCTCAGTTCCTGGGGGCTCCAGAATGTACACTTGCAGCTCCCCTCATACTTGGGAAATGAAATATTTCAATTGCAACACCCCTGACCAGTGCAGTGAATGTTTTATGGTGTAATGCAGGAAGGGCTATAAAGTCCATATTTATGTCTTGTTTTGTGACAGTTGCTCTTCCTATTAAAAAGCATGCAGCTGTGTGTGTCAGGAAGTTGGGAAAATGTTCTGAGCCTCAGACACATCTAAATAAGATGGAAAGGTCAGTGGGACTAATGAGCAACCAGTCCTCGACAGAGTCCTTTGACATTACAAACTTCCTTATGGTGATTTCAGAGGTAGTAACTAAAAGTGAACTCTGAATAATGTTGCTTTTGAGAATTTCTGCATTCAAAAAAAATTCATCATGACCGGCATAGACAGGGGTGAGACAACAAGGCAGGGGGCCCACCAGGGGAGGCTCAGCAGCCTTAGAGCACTGCAGGAACTAGAAGAGAGGACTCTAGATTGGGCCAAACAGTCCGTCCTCCTAGCCCTGTCTGTCAGGTCTTGACCTCAGAACAGCAGGTATACTTTATAGTTTGTTATATATAAATAATTACTGTGTGCCTAAGATAACTGTTTAGTAACCTGGGTTATATAGCACAAGTTTTAATCATTCTCCACAATTTCTTTTCTTGTTATCTTAAAAATTCCTGGTCTGGATAAGTCTTACCTGCATTCAGCAATCAAGGTTCTAGGGCTGATGTTGGTTAAAATCAAAGAAGCAGTCATTTTTACAGAATATCATTTCAGCTTTATTCTTGTCTGTCAAGATGCAAACTACCTCCACTATTCCTGCTTATACCTGCTAGTGTCTTGTCCAGGAGAACAGACTTCTAGTTTCTTCTCCATGACATCAGAAGTATTAAGAAACAACCAAGGACAGTTTTTCACTTTGTGGTAGAGGTAGATGCTAAGTATAAAAGAGCAGGTCATTTTGTCCATGATCGGTTGGACCACCACAGTGCTATCTTTTCCACAGAAAATTGTGTAACTCTGGAATTTAATGGGTGAGTATGGTCACGTACAGACTTTGATAATGAGTCCACTGACTTGACCTAGCACAACGAGGTCGGTCAGTTCATGATTATTTAGGGGATGATGACACAGGTAGCTCTATCCCTTTGGTTGCACATGAGTGGGTCAAGGCCCTACTCATCATTTCCAAACCTGCAGAGGGGTCACAGGCAGGGGAAGGGAGGGAGAAATTCTAGACTCTAATCCAGGAAAAGCCAGCCTTTATGGTGCTTACGTTTACAATACAATGGGAAAAGGGATTTTTTCTTTTTAAATGGCATATGGATTCCAACTACCTCTTTAGTCTTATTTTCTCATACCATTGAATGAAATGGAAATCAAAGCATCTGACTTATTAACAATGAAAGAGAATCACAATATTAGAATTATTTTTACAAAAGATTAAAGAATAACTTATTTATGAGGTTTGATTACATTGAACTTCAATGTGTGAATTTCCTGAAGCACTTTCTTCCCTTCACATCCCAAACCCCGATACTTCTTGGTTGTATACCACCATTCACGGGTAACACACTCTGCCTAGCACTTAATTAGCACTTTGTGCCCAGGTCTTAATTTATAAAGGCGACTGAGTGATGACATGAAGAGGCCAATGCGATTGAAAGTTTGCTTGACACTCACACTTTCCTTAGAATGGAGAGGCACAAAGGTCCTGCAGGGCCACAGGAGGAGGCACTGGATATTTGTAGGAGGCAAAAGTAGAAGTCAGGGGAAAAAGGAAGCATAGGTCACAGCCTTTCTTGGGGTTTCCGTGGGAAGGGCAAGGCACGGAAGAGTAAACAGATTGGGACTGGCTAGTTATAATAATTCCAGTGGGTTTTGGGGAATAAGGGGACGGTCTCTAGTTATCTAGTACTTGGCTGTGGTTGATTTAGGGCAAGGAAAATAGTGGCTTGGTCTGTGAGAGTCAGATAATGAAGTGGTTGAGGGTATGGACTTTTGATGGGTTGATTTGCATATGAAAGTCTGGTTTACTGACACATTGTTTACTATCTCTGGGAATTAACTAGCTCTGGGAGGGGAGGTGTCTCCTCAGATTGCAAGCTCCCTCTGCACCCACCCCCTTCACCGAGATGTTAAAACAATATATAATTTTAAAAAATTAAAAACATGATTGATACATATTTTATATCAGAATTATCTGTTTATATGACTGTCTCTTGTATTAGACTGGGCCTCTTTGGGGCCAATGAGTGTACTTTGTTTTGAATTGAAATACAAGCACTTAGCATAGTGCTTGACACATAGCTTAATAGATACTGAAAGAATGAATAAACGTTAAATATACTAACAGTCATTAATATTTATTAGATGATTACTATGTACCAGCACAGTGCCAAGGTCTTTAAAATTTTTATTTCATTTAGTCCTCATAAACAAGCAACTAGTAGTTTTTTCATTGCTGCTGTAGCAAATTGCCATAAATTCAGTGGCTTAAAACAACATAAATTTATTATCTTATAGTTCTGCATGGCAGGAATCTGACACATGTGTCTCACTGTGCTAAAAATCAAGGCGTCAGTGGGGATGCATTCCTTTTTGGAAGCTCTAAAAGAAAACTCATTTCCTGATACATTCTACTTTCTAGGGACTGCCCACACTCCTTAGCTCATGGTCCCCTCTCATCTGCAAAGCTGACATGACATGTTGAGTCCGTCCTGTATACTTTGTATCTCTTTGACCTTCTCTTCTATCTTCTTGTTCTATTGCAAAGGACACACAGTAGCAATCCTGGATAATCTATTTTACAGTTAGTTGATTAACGATCTTAATTCCATCTGCAACTTAATGAGGATATGGACATCTTTGGGTGCCATTAATCTGCTTACAGAATACCACAAAAGTATTATTATTGTCTTCATTTTACAGATGAGGACATTACGGATAAGAGAGATTTTTATACCTTGTCCAAGACCCCACAGCTGGAATTCAAGTAAAGGCCTGTCAGATGCAGAGATGCATTGCGGGCCTGAAGGCATTAGAACACAGCTCCAGACCACGTTAGGCTGGGCCTCTTAGTCTCTCTGCATTTTGGAAGGATTCTGACCAGAGTCTGGTTGTCAGTTCCCAGATTCAGAACTTTCGTTTTGTCAG